TAATTATTGAAAATAAATTTGGCCAAAATCATTTTTGTGAAATTTAATTAAAACTGATTTGACTGAGGAAAATTAAAGCTTGCCATAATGTTAATCAATGTTTAATAATTCAAATTAAATCAGAAACTAAAGATCAATACAAAAACAAAAATAGATTGAAGAACAAAATAAAAAACAAAATAAACCGTAGAAATAATACTCCTCCAATTTTATTTTTAAAAAAGCTTGAAACTGTGATAGTAGTTTACAATTTCAAGCTTGTCAGTGAATTATTGAAAATGAAGATATTGCTCATGAAAAGTTTAAAGAAAAAGTTAACTGTGATCATAAAAAATGCGATCTTGTTATAAATCCTAAATACCATGACTGGTTTTAGCCCTGATGGGGCTTGTTGTGTATTGACTAAGACAGCTACAAAATGATTGAAGTATGGTGCTCTTTTTAAAAAAGAAATCTTTTTGTGTACAAAAAGTTTGTGCCAATAAAACTTATTGTATGGAAATAAAAGTAAACAGCAAAAACTAAAAATTAAACAGTTAATTTTACCAATGTCAAGGTATCAAAGCTTTTACAGAAATTAGCGAAATTGACTTTGTTCTATTCAAAAATGAAAAAATTGTGCAATTAATTAAATTTGAAAATGAAAACTGGTTCAATAAGATTTCCCCTTGTTTAAATACATTTTATTTGAAAAAATATTTGAAAGGATGAAAAGTATGTAAAAGTTTTATTTTTATGTTTTACTTAGTTACTAAAGCATTTAGGTACACAACATGTAAAATCCCGACATCTTTTTTTTGTTTACTTTTTAGTTAAATAAAATTGTTTGGTGAACTTGTTGTTATCTTTTCTTCGAAGTCTTATATAGTGCAAAGTTTACTCCAATAATATAGTTTTTAAAATTTGAACAAAAAAATTTAAAAGGTGTGAAATAAAATATATCAAAGTCTATTGGGACAATCTCAGTTCTTTCAAAATTTGACATTTTACCGTAAACCGGGGTAACTTTGGCCAGCGAGATAACTTTGGCCATTTTTAAAAATTTTAATTAAACATTTGTAACTTTGAAACAGTTAAGTAACGTTTTATTATTTTTGTTTAATTTGTAAATGCAATTTTTCTTGGTAAAATTTTGATCTGAAGTTTGTTCCAAATTTATTTACTATAAGTGAAAAAGAATGAAAACTACATCTTGGTAAAACACCATCAAAAACTGTTAAACAAAATGTTGTCTGGACGAAGATAAAAATGATAGCAAACAACTCAGTTTTTCTTCTGTTTTAAAGACAAACGTTCAGATAAAATTAGGCGAAAAGTTTTTGACTCAATAACAACATTCTGGTTTTTTTGCAGGATGGTCAAAGTTACCCCGTAGGTTTATACTCTTTTGGGGTAACTTTGGCCAAGTAAAGAATATTCTTTTTAAAGTAGTCTGATCGTTATTTATTATAACTAGAATATTTTTTGAAGCATGTTATCCAAATAATTTATTTTGATAAATAGCACGAATGTATTTAAGGATTTTAAAAAAAGTATATTTTCTTGTTAAACTATTTGTTGTTGTTGTTGCTAAATCATAATTTTATTAACTTTATAACAAGATTAAAATTTATAGACTCTTAGTTTTAAGTTTAATTCCAATTTAATAAAATTATATAATAGTTTAATAAATTACTACATTGCAGTTTGCTTGTATTGTTTATATTTACTTTTGTTTAAAGCATAATTCCTTGTAAATATAACAAGCATAGTGTTGGAAAACGTGCAAACAACACTTGTTATAATACTGTTCTTTTGAAAGAGTGTATGAGAGTACAATTAATGAAGGTATGTTTATTCGTCAAGCCTCAAAAAGGTTTAGTATACCAAGAAGCACTATATATAATAAAATAAAGTCAAAGCATAAAAAATGCATTGATGATTCAACCATATTTTCTTATGATGAGGAGCAGTTATTTTCATCTAGAATCAAAGTTGTTTGCAATTGATTACAAAGTTACCCCGGTTTACGGTACTTGATTTATTTTTGTTGTTTACTTCCGCGTACATACAAATACCACAATGCATTGCATTTAAGGAGAAAGGTCAATTAAAAACTATGCTAGCCGCAAAACACATAGTCGTCACTAAGTGTTCTTAGAGTTTACCACCATATAGTTGAATTTTCTTAAACTTGCTGTATTTGTATTTTTAGTTACAGCAGTATAATTTTTTTATAGGCGCTGAGGCAGCAGTCAAAAATAAAAAAGGACTATACCCAACTTATATAGCTGCAACATACGGCCGTTTGCAGTGCTTGAAAATTTGCTTAGAAAAAGAACCTAAATTGCTAAATACTTTACATAAGAGTGGAAACAGTTTACTGCATATTGCAGCATCTAAAGACCATTTTGATATCATACAATACCTCGTGAGTAAAAACATTGATGTCAAAATAAAAAATACAGTAAAAACAATAAAAAATAAGTACAAACAAACGTCATCAGCAACTTCGATTTCGTATATACAAATATATCAATTAATTAAACTAATTAATAGTACAAATTACACATTCTAACATCCAGTGCATTATCTATCTTCTTTCTCTATGCTATGTTTCTAACTTCTTCTGACTTTAACTCAAATTTGCTTAGTTCTTCTTAAACTCACTCTTGGTCAGCGAAGCGGGTGACGATACTCTATAGTGAGCTAAACTTGTCTTCGCGGGTCCTTGTATGCAGCCTTTATATGGTAATTAGCCGGAGGAGGATAAACCACAATACCCATTATTTTTTATAGGTGCTAAAACAACCCAGTGGGCACCGTTCATAAGACGTCCAAAACGTTCAAAAGACGTCCAAAACGTGTATAAGACGATAAAAGATGTCTTTTTTACGCCCGCGTCCACTGGGAAGAGTTAAAAATAAAAAAGGATTATACCCAACTCATATAGCATCAACATATGGAAGTTTGCAGTGTTTGAAAACTTTTTAGTGTTTGAAATCTTTGTTAGAAAACTTCGAAATAAGAAATGGAATTGGAAAAAGAAAAAATAAATTAAGAGATTTCAACAATTTTTGATATCCACAAAACACTTTTTCAATAATTTTTTTAAATAAATAGTGTCGAAAACAAAACAAAAAAGGAATAGTGTGGCAAATGAATTTAACGAATAGTCTCGAAAATAGACAAAAGGAATAATGTCCTAAAGGAGTTTAATGAATAGTAACAAAAATAAAAAAATTATAATAACTATAGAAAAAAAGCCGTATGCTATAAAGATAAGCAAAACGAGTAAGCAATTGCTGAAATTAACTATTTGCGACACTATTCCATTTTTACTATTTGCAATACTATTCCTTTTTGTTTTGTTTTCGACACTATTTATAATATTCGTTTGCGACACTATTTCTTTTTTTTGCAACACTAGACCTTTCTAATATATTCGGCACTATTCTGAATTCATTTTTCGACACTATTCTTGTCATTCTTAATAAGAATGTTAACTGCTAACAATTTAAACAGGTAACAATTAAGAATGTTTAACACGTTAAATACGTTAATTAAGAAAAACACGTTAATTAAGAATAGAATACGTTAATTAAGAAAAACACGTTAATTAAGAAAATTTAACACGTTAACAATTAAGAATCTTATAAACAATTATGCTCGACATGAACTTTTTTCATTTAAAAATTTCATTCCACAAAAACGATGATCTTTAATACGATACTTGATTACAAATTTTAAAAACATTTGTTAAAAATAATAAAATGCTAATCCAAAATAAAGTTAATTTTGACATGCAGACTTTTATTTCATTTTTTCTCTAAAAATGATACCGAGGACTTTTGAAAACATATGTCATTTAAAGTTCATTCATCCATTCAAAAATCCCATTCATTAAATTAAATCTAAAATAAAAAACGGTATCAAGAAATTCTTTATGTACATATGTTGACTATTCTAGATCCTTGAGATTTGCTTTGAAAAACATGTTATTATGTTATTAACATGTTATTATTTATAAATAAAGATTTATAAAAAATACCCCTAATTAATCGGAAAACTGTTTGCGAGGAAGCGGGACAGTTTACCTAATTTTTTTCAATATTTTTATACTAATAGAAAATATGGTAAATTATTAAAAATCTTTAGTTGTGTGTTTTAGTTGAAGTTGTGAATACTCTCCTTTCACTCTCTTTTTCTCAGCCTTGACATAGAAATATTTTTCTTTAAATCTTAATTTCTAGAAATAAGAAATCTTTTTTAGACTTTATTTAACGCACTATTTTTGAATTTGACTCATCTAATCAATCGTTTGACACTTTTAATCAAATGAACAATAATTATTCCTTCATGAATTGTTTGATTTCATTAAGGGCAGCGTTAAAAACGAAATGCAGGATAAATTTCTTTTCGAGATTTTTTTTTTAAAATAATAAAAAAAAAATTAGCCATAAATTATATAATTATCTTTTAAATAGCCGAATTAACTTATTCGTATCATTTGTAACACATTCTTGGATTATTTAGTTATATATAGAAAATAGCCAAGCTATTTTATCAAAATAGAAATACAAATATTTTTTCGATTATTTATACTTAATATAGTTTTTGGATCAAATTTTTAAAGTATTCCAGTGTAAACTGTTTTCCAATATGACGTAATTGTTTTGTTATGTGCACGTGTGATTTGGGTCATATGCCAAAAAAAACTTTAGCCTGCTTACTCAAAAAGAGTTTGAAATTTGATGTCGAAACAAGTAACGGGTCATGTTTTTGGGCAGTGACTCTTTGGAAACAATTTGTAAGTTTGCAAACAAAAACAAAACGTTTCTTTGCTGACAATGACATTTTAAGAATTAACATAAGCCAAACTGACCAACTATTTGAAAGAATGAAAACAAAAAGTGAACCGCAACAAATAGAAGTTGTGAAAATTAAATCTTGCTAAAAAAATTCTAAACAAAAAAATAATCCATTATTAAATATACGTTAGTAAATATGATACGCATAATAGAAACATAATCAATATTGGTCATAAATCATAATAGTTTTTGTCAAACGTCCGCTTAATGGTAAAACGCCATATAGCTTTTAATTCCGAGATATTTGCTCAAATAAACGGACATTTTTTTATTAAAGTAAAATGAGTAAGAATATTTTTTTATACTTTTTTTTCATTTTTTATCTTTCTATTGTATTTATATTTTTCACATTTCTTTTTCAAGTTTCAAGCAATCCAGTAGTATTTAGAGGTCTATGATAAAAAAAAAAAAACACATAATAAACTTGGTTGTCAAGGTGTATTTTTCGTTTTTTAGCCAACATTCACCTCTTTATCATTCTTTACCACCGCATATTCCAAAATCCTTCTCGCTAGCATATTTATAATGCTTTCTCTTCCGACTGTTATAATTTTTATTCTTGAAAGATTAAACTAATTTTTTTGCCTTTAAATGACTTTAATTGATATAAACTGAAATTCTATTAAAGAATAATGATACTAACAAACATAAATGTAACAAACAAACATGTATCCTGTAAATCTCGGTCTAAACAAATTTTTTATTTGAAAATTAAAAAAAAATTTAAACTTTTTGAAAATTTTTAAATAATCTTTTTATAAATAGTTATAAAAATTCATTAAAGTCAAAAAAAGTCATGAAAAACTTTGTTATCGCGAATTTAATGATGATAATTATAATACTATTGTAGTTGTTGATGATAAATATAAACTTTTTTTTTTTGAACGAATAAAGTGAGTAAAGCATATTGTCATTTATTCTTATCACATTTGTTCATTGTTCATCATCATCACTTATCACATTGTTTAGTATTTAAGAATATATATATATATATATATATATATATATATATATATATATATATATATATATATATATATATATATATATATATATATATATATATATATATATATATATATATATATATAAATTAGTAGAAGATTTAGTTTAGTATTTAAGAATATATATATATATATATATATACATATATATATATATATATATATATATATATATATATATATATATATATATATATATATATATATATATATATATATATATATATATATATATATATAAATATATATATATATATAACATATATATTATACATATATATTATATATATATATATATATATATATATATATATATATATATGTATATATAATATATATATATATATATATATATATATATATATATATATATATATATATATATATTATATATATATATATTATATATATAATATATATATATATATATATATATATATATATATAATATATATATATATATTATATATATATATATATATATATATATATATATATATATATATATATATATATATATATATATATATGTATATATATATATATATATATATATATATATATATATATATATATATATATATATATATATATATAAATTAGTAGAAAATCACTATCAAATCGTTTTATCTTACTCAGTGTTTCATCAATCAAGACTCATCAGAAATGCATTTAGTATGGAAAAAATATTATTAGTGCAACAAATACTGTGTGCGTTTAAAATAATATGTATACGCTTTAAATACTAACTCAACTTAAGCGCATGTGATAAATCATGACAAATTTTTAAAATAAGTTGAATGGGCGGTAGAGGAAATAGTTGAGATATAGCTGCCATTATTCCAGTTTTTACGAAGAAGAGCGCAGCGCTAAATCAATTAAAACTGAAATTTTCATAGCATTTTCCTACGGAAAAAATCTGGACATTATCAGCCATATAGTAGTAGTAGTAGCAGTGTCTGGTTATAGTTTTTTTCATAAAAAAAACAACACTAAGTTACACAACACATTATTAGTTACACAAAAAAATAATAACTTAATTTACGATAAAAAAAATGCTTGCTCGTCTAAAAAACATGTTTTGACATTACTTTTGATTTTAATAGTACTTCTTTTTTTAGTTTTGCGTAATGAAACTAAATTTCAATCAAAATTTTAAGATTTTAATAGGTTTTTGATGGTTCCGAAATTTTTTGATAGGTTTTTGATGATAAAATATGTATAGGTGTTCAAATTAAAACAACAACAAAAGATATTATATGGTTTAAGAAAAAATATATACAATTTTTTTTTTTAATGCTACTTTATTTTTATTTTTTTAAGTAAGAAAAGTCATTTTAAAAAACAGTTTTAAAGTCTGCAATAAAATTTAAAATTTAAAAAGAAAATAAGTAAATATATAAACATTTTATTTTTTTAAAATTGGAATATATCAAAAAACAATTTAATGAAATAACCAAACAATAATTTGTTTGCAAGATCAAGAACGATTTAATGCCAGCGTTGTTTACTATAGGTTTATCAACCATAACAAAATCTATTTACTGGAGTCAGAACTAAACTTGGCTCCGAATTGTCTACGCTTATATAAAAAAGGATCTTCTTATCACCTCAATCAAAGCAGGCTTACAAACATAAATTGACATGCTTTCCCTGCCAGGGATCAAGACTGTTTATCAACTTTTTTTTAAACTTTAAAAGTAGACATTTTAAATGAGTCAAATATTATAATACTAAAACACAAACTTTTAATAAGTTTTTAAGGTTCTCACGCCGCACTTAAAAGTACCAACTTCACTGAATATAATATAATCTATAAATTTACTAATTATAAACAATATTTATAGTTTAGGATAATACAGTATGAATATGTAGTTTTTATTAACGGTTTTTAACAAGAATATATAAATTGTCACATAATATTTTAACTATATACAATTTATATAGGTGTTGTTGGTAAAAATATTTTTGTTTCTTTTACTGCTGTTTGAAATTTTTATTAATTAATTATAATTTAAAAAATGAGAAAAAAAAGATAAATTTTTTATAAAAAAAAAAATTATTTGCGCAACATCTAGCGATTAGAATTATATGCTGTTAGCTGCCGTCTACAATATATCTTGATTTACTGTGGGTAGAAATGTCAATTGTTTATTTATGTAACTTCATTTTATTGTTTTTATTTTTTACCAACACTTTAGTAAAACTAAAACGTTAATTAGTAGAGCCTAACGGTGCTTGATTGTATATGTTTTTACATTATATGTGTCACGGTGTTAAAGTAATCATTAGTTTTTGTTGTTGTTAGTTTTTAAATAATCTAATATATTTTTTATTTGCTTACGTAAGATGGAAATCGTATCAAATTTTAATAATATTAAAAGTCTTCATTTTATTTTTATTTTTAAGGGCGCGCAGAAACTTTTATGTTTACGCCCTAGAAAAGAAAAAAAAAACTTTTGATGTACTTATTAGTTAACAAAGTGTTGAATGGACTACATCAAGACTACTAGAAAGCGGTTTGTAAGTATCAATCAAGAGCAGATCCATAGGCCCAGGGGCAGATCCAGGATTTTTTGATGCTTGAGTTAAATAACTTTCAGGTAAGTTCTAAAATCCAAACTTTTTTATGCTCATACTTATGTCATTTAAGAATGCTTTTCTGAAAATTGCGTTGATTAGAGCCTGGGAACAAAAATACCCTAAATAGTAGGCATCACCCCCCCCCCAAATGAGAGAAGAAATGATTTTGCAGGTATGCCTACTTTTTAGGGTGATTTTGTTCCCAGGCTCTAATCAGCGCAATTTTTGGCAAATCATCCTTAAATGACTAAAATATGAAAATACAAAAACTTGGAGTTTAGAATATACCTGTAAGTTATATAACTCAAATACCAAAAAATTCTGGATCCGCACTAGAGCCCCTCCCCCCCCTCCCCCATACATTTTCCCCTCTCCCCTGTTACAATAACATAACGTTTTTGTACAATAACTTTTGAAAATTTCTACTTGACATGAAAATATGATTTGTTTGTTTTTTTAATTTTGATTTTTTTTTTTAAATAAAAAAAATTTTTAAAGAAAAAGATTTTTTTTTAAATATTAAAAAAAAACAATTAATTAAAAAAATACCAGGGGCGGGTACAACAAATTTTGAGGGTAAGTAAGAAAAAAATTCCACCCTCCGCCCTTTTTTTGAGTTTCGAACGCCTTTTTGGCGGATTGAGTGTGTTTTCATAAAAATGTTTCAATAAATTTCTAAATACATCACTTTTAACACCCCTAATATACTAATATTAGTAAACTTTTTTTGCTATTTGGCTTTGCAACCTCTTCATACCATTTTCTATAAGCTTTTGTACTTAAGCTTTATATAACGTATAAGTGTAAAATAGGTTTTCTATTTTATTTCTTTTTTTTTGTACTGTTAGACAAGAAGTTAGAACTTTTGTTGAAAAAGATCATTTAGTTAGTAGCTCTTAAGAAAAAAGCAATTCCCAGCTAGTTCAAATAAATTATAGTTGATTTTTTTCTAAAAAACGAAGCTATTTATTGTCCAAAACTACCATGTAAGAGGGAGTAGTTTTAGACGACATTAAACTAATTTAGAAAATATAATAAAGAGACTAGAAATGTTTTTTAAAATTTCATTTTTTTGTTTAGTAATTATAAACACAAATAAGTAGTTATAGTAAATTAAACAACAGTTGAAGATTGTTAAGTGACGTACAGTACGATCTAATGTGTCCCATGAAAATTGTCCAATGCTACCTCAACCTTGATTTCAGAATATATAGATTAAAGTTTCTGTGAAAATTTTGTGCTTTGTAATGAAACTTTTTATTTATATCGTAGAACATATTCCTTGATAATTATTAAGTAATTACCTCAGTAAATCCTTAAGTTTAAAAATTAAAATATTTAAAAAAAACCAAAAATCATAATCATTTGTAAAAAAGCTCATTGCTTTCCTGACAAAAATCCTGTGACGGTTGCGTGCCGTTATTTACTTACGATTAATATATTTAACCTAGTTGAAAAATTTATGTTTTTTAATTTTTTTGCATTGTCCTAAACTACCCCAGTCCTTAATTACCTCTTTTTCCCTACCCTATATGAAATTACGGGGAAGGTAGAAATAACTATAAATTTTAATGTTTTTAAATCAAAGAAAATTTGTTTCTTGTAATGTTTTGATAATAGTATATTGTAATAGTATATTTGTTGCTTGTAATGTTTTAGCAAAAGTAGTAATTTTGAAATTTAACCAGTTTGCTTTTAACAGGCGAAGCTCATTTAATAAAGCCTTTGGTTCGGTAATAATAAGTAAGCCTAATAAAGGCTTTGGTAAAGAATTCGAAAAGTTATACTAAAGTTACTAAAGCATATGATGACGTCTTTCCGAACAATATTACACAAAGTTATACTAAAGTATATACTTTAGTATAAAAGGTGCTTTATAGCAAGTAAAAGTTTTATCATCGAACCTTGTGCTTATTTCGGTACTCAATTGATCTCGTAAAGAAACAGTGATAACCAATTTAAAATCGATACAGGAGAAGTAATAGCTCTTTTTTGCAATAAATATAGTTCCTGGCTTTTCTATGTAACATTTATCTTGTGTGCAAGTTTTAAGCTTGTTCATAGCATATTTAAAAGTGTTAATCAACAACATTTATAAGTAAAGAAACAACATCTTTAATTGCCTGAATAATATTTAAACAAATACAAAATATCATTACTGGTATCAATACATTAGGGGTATTGGACGTCTAACAGACGCCCATTTCACCTCCGTCGTCCATTTGGACGTCTTAGGACGTCCAACACCCATTAGGTACCTGCCTGCAACATCCGTGTTATTGAAAGAGCTATATAAAAAACATTTCTTTTCATACACAATGCGACAATAAAATCAAAACCTATTATTAACTTCAGGAGAGAAGAAGCAGTAGTAGAGGTTGCTCAATTAAATATTGTAATGATTTTTAAAGACATTTCTTCGAGACTGAAAACTTCAGAAATAAAGAATATTTGAAAAGAATCAATGCAATGATTTCATAAACTATAATAACCAAAGAAAATCAGAAATTACTTTTAGTAAAACAATAAATAAAATCATGTATAAATTTGAAAAAAATTTCCTTTACGTCTAAATTAGAATTAACAGATCAAAAAACTAAATAAATTTAAACTGTCTGATGTTTTATCAGCAATAATAAAATACTAAAACATTTTAGTTTTGTTTGTAATTTCTTCCCTGAAATACTTTATCATCTCATTTTGTAATGTATTTGATATATAAAAAGCATTCTCTTTGCACTGAAAATGGTATAAGACCATTAATTCTTGTTGAGTCACCTCAAAAATAAAATTAACAAAACAAAATTTTTTTATCTTTATTATGTATTTAATCTTAAATTGCTCATATATAAAATTTTGTTCCAAAGCCAAGTTTTTGAATTTGAAGTTCAGAAAAATCAACAATTGAAAATGAATATATCATCCAATCACCAAATAACACAGACAAAATTCTACTTAACAATACAACATAAATTTAATGCATTAAAAATTTATTTTTAAATTATCTTTAAAAAAAATTATTTTGAAGATAATTTAAAGGATATGATTGAAAAAGCCTTTCAACTACAAAATTTACTATATATATATATATATATATATATATATATATATATATATATATATATATATATATATATATACATTTTTCTTCTTGTTACGCAAAAAGAAACTGTTACTTTGTGAAAAACCGACTGATTTCAATGTAATAAATTTTATTAATTTACTCTATGTTTCAGGTTTTGAAGAATGTATTCGAAATGGAGATCTCATTGAATTAAAAAAGTTGTTGCAAACTAATGTAAATGCATTAAACGTGGCCTCTGGAGACCTCTTAAACACACCACTACACACTGCAGCAAGAAAAGGATATTTTGAAGCAGTTCGTTTACTATTAGACGCTGGTAATTTCTTATAATTTTAAAATATAAAATTTCATATTTAAAAGTAAAACTATTATATCAATAATTTCACGTTTCTTATCGCACATTTCTGTAGTTTTTTCGCAAGAAACACAACGAGAAATTTATTTCAATTATCTTTCATTTAATATAATTTATTTAACTTTCACTTTACCTTTTTTTTTTTTTTTACAAAATCAATCAATAATTTATATTGAACTAAAAATTTCAACTATATGTGTTAAAAACCGTATAAACATATTAAAATTATTTACTAATTAAAAACTATGCTACTCACAAAACACATAGTCGTCACTAACTGTTTTTAGAGTTTACTACCATATAAATACACTCCTCTTTTATCCTTAAAAAACACAAAACTCAATTAAGTCATCATCCATGACTCTCATAGCTTCATATGCCGTTTCAGTTAATTAATCGTTTACTGTTCTTCGCACTACGAACTTGGTTTTACGATATTCATTCTACAATTTTTGTTCTACGATCTTTGTTCTTTGATTTTCGTTTTACAATTCCAATATTCCTTTAAGTATATCAATTTTATTTTGCCATTTGTTGTTCCTGTTACAGATTTTTACATAATATCAATTTATTTACGGATTTACACTTAATATCAATAATATAAATGTAGTTTTGCAAAAAACTACATTTATATTATTTCTGAGCATACAAGTGCAATTTTTCAAGTAAATGCAGTATAATTGTATCCCTGGGTATGTAAATTGGCAATTGAGATTCAAAAAAAATTCTAGCAAGAAACATAACGAGAAATTTATTTCATTCATCAATCTTGTCATTAGACGAACTTCCACCTAACCTTTTTTCTTACAGAATCAATCAATAATTTATACTAAACTAAAAACCTCAAATATACGTATTAAAAACCGTGTAAATATATTAAAATTAATTATTAATTAAAAACTATGCCAGCCCCAAAACACATAGTCGTCACTAACTGTTTTTAGAGTTTACCACCATATAATAGACGTCTTCAATGTTCCGATAATTTCATGCGCGCGCATATTTAATAATACGTCATGATTCTTTACGCGCAGAATCGCATGAAAACAAGTAAATACACATATAAATTAAGATAGTAACCTTGAAAGAAACAGTTGTTTATGTATAATATTTTTCGTTTTTTTCCATAAACAGAGATTGATTTAGTTTTATATAAGTTTATTTTAACGATTTTAAGTCTAATATCTATACCTTTATATGTTTTTATTATAAATATTTGTAATCAAGAGAAAAAAATTTGTACGTATATATATATATATATATATATATATATATATATATATATATATATATATATATATATATATATATATATATATATATATATGTGTGTGTGTGTGTGTGTGTGTGTGTGTGTGTGTGTGTGTGTGTGTGTGTGTGTGTGTGTGTGTGTGTGTGTGTGTGTGTGTGTGTGTATTTACTTTTTTTCATGCGATTCTGCGCATACAGAACCATGACGTACTCTTAAATATGTGAGGTCTATTACAATTTCTAAAACTTTCTATAGTTGTATTTTTAGTTGAAGCAGCATTGTTTTTTTATAGGTGCTGAGGCAACAGTTAAAAATAAAAAAGGACTATACCCATCTCATATAGCTGCAACATACGGACGTTTGCAGTGTTTGAAAACTTTGTTAGAAAAAGAACCTAAACTGCTAAATACTTTAGATAAAAGTGGAAACAGTTTACTGCATATTGCAGCGTCAAAAGACCATTTTGATATAGTACAATATCTCGTAAGTAAAAACATTGATGTCAAAATAAAAAATAAAGATGGAAACTATGCTTGCCACAATGCTGCTATATGGAAGCGAGAAGATATACTCAAGTATCTTGTTAATTTAAATGAAACTCCAATTAATGACTCAAACAACAAGGGTGAAACTTTGCTTCATATTGCATCATCAAAAGGTTGCTTGTTAATGGTTCAATTTCTATTGTATAAAGGTGCGTCCGCATCTCTTAAAAATCGAAATGGAAAAACAGCAGTTCAAGAGGCTGCAAATAATGAAGTTCAAAATTGTTTTCTGTATTTCAATCGCTATTTATCAATAAGAAAATGGTAAGTAAGTATAATTTAACAACGGGTATTTGAGTTTAGACTAAATACTTTTAAAAACCACACTTCAAAATAGATTCTTAACTTTCTTTTTTGAGAATGAAACTTAAGGGAATTATAGTATTAAGTAATTATTACCATAAAGCTTTTAAAATTAGTACTTTAGGAAGTCCCATAGTAGAACCCTCGGAAATTTTCATAGCAGTTAACTAACAATAAGTTTTTAAAATAGAAATTAGCCTGATTTATGTTGCTGCAAGAATTTAGAACTTAGGGGAAAACGAGGCTAGATGGCAAAAGTTTTGAAAGCCCTGAGTTATTGCAAAAATATTAGTCATGATGCAATAATACTTTGACAGTATATTTATTTTATTATAATTATTTATTGCCTGCATAAATTTTTAGTTTGCAAGTAGATAAATTTAAAAATAAAAATTATAATAAAAAGTTCATAAATTTATCATCTGTTCCAGGGCAAAATGACTTATTATGTAATTTTTGCCACCAATTTTATAAAATTTTTAAAACTACAAACTACTCTAAATAAATTACAAATAAACAAAGTAAATGAACACAAAATAAATACGAGTCTTAAAAAGTTATTTTTTAAAAAGTTACACCCGAAGGACACCATCTATTATAATTTACCGAAACCGAGGTATTTTTTTCCAAGCACTAAAACTGCGTTAATAATATTTATATAAACCAATACACCTCTTCACAGTTTCGATAATTTCGTGCGCGCGCATTTTTAAATAGTTTGTTATTGTTCATTGTGCGCAGAATCGCATGAAAGAGTTTGATTTGTACTAATAAACTACAGAAGAAAGTCATTTATTTTAGTTAGTTTTTACTATTTTTAATTGTTTTAAACATGAAACCTCAAAGTTTGAAAAGAAAACGATCAATGGGATGTGCTGTATTTGATTGCAGCAGTAGCCAATATAATCTTGAGCTTTGGCGCAATGAATTTTGTGAGTTACACAAGGTCTTAAGAAGCAGTTTGACTTGCAGATGTTCGGAACCTTACAAGTATGTATACTACATATAATGTTATTTATCTAAAATTTAAACATCTGGCTAAACATGTATAAAGTGAATTAATGAATTAATGTTACATATTATGTGTAGACATTATGGAATAGGGGTATATAGTACCTATAATAATGTAATAATATCTGTATTATACAGATATTATTACATTATTATAGGTACTATATACCCCTATTCCATAATGTCTACACATAATATGTAACATTAATTCATTAATTCACTTTATACATGTTTAGCCAGATGTTTAAATTTTAGATAAATAACATTATATGTAGTATACATACTTGTAAGGTTCCGAACATCTGCAAGTCAAACTGCTTCTTAAGACCTTGTGTACAGTGTATATAATAATATTATACACAGATATTATTAATATCTTCCTACAACATGTATAAAGTGAATTATATGTTACATATTATGTGTAGACATTATGGAATAGGGGTATATAGTAACTAAATAATAATGTAGGAAGATATTAATAATATCTGTATATAATAACTCCACGTACGAATTCGTTCTAAGTTTATTTTATCCATGATCAAAAAAATTCTAAAACAGAAACTTATAAAAATCTAAACTTTGAATCATCTCATATAAAGCTAAATAAATATCTATATTATTAGAAAACTCACGTAAACAACTGTTTCTTTCAAGGATGCTTTCTTAATTTATCTGTTAATTTACTTCCTTTCATGCGATTCTGCGCACAATGAACAATAACAAACTATTTAAAAATGCGCGCGCACGAAATTATCGGAACTGTGAAGAGGTGTATTGGCGTTTTAAAATACAAGATGTAAATGCAGTTTCGTTTTCGCTCATTTTCAAGTTTTTTTGTTGAGTTGTTATATAAAAAGCCATCTTGCCCCGTTTTTCTCTATAATTGTTTTGCGCATATTCTGTACAAATACATACGTGATTTCTAATCTCTTAATTATATAAAATAAAATATTTCGACCAACAAATTTTATTGAGAAACTCTTGGAGTAGGTTGTTTGCTTGCACTAATATATTTAAATTTTTTGGCCCACAATTTTTATTGAGAAACTCTTGGAGTAGGTTATAGTAGGTAGGAGGCTAGGTTGGAGTAGGTTGGAGTCGGTTGTTTGCTTGCACTAATATATTTAACTTTTATTCAACTAAAGTTTGAAATGCGACGATACGGTGGCTGCTGTATTAGCCAAAAGAAGGTATGAAAATGAAAACACTACATTACACATTGTATCCATGTTTGAAAACAATCAGAAAGAAATTCGACAATTAGTTCGAAGTGGTTCCGATGTCAATGCACTAAACTCACTCAATCAAAGTCCACTTCACTTGGCTATTATTTCAACTCATATTTCTAATGCGGAAATGTTAGTATGTGTCGGGGCAAACGTTAATGAAAGAGATAAAGAAAACGGAAAAACTTTGCTGCATTTAATCGCCCAACATAACATTGTAAAATGTTTACCCTTATTTCTAAAATCTAAAGTATCTTTAAACCAAGTTGATAAAAATGGCGAAACCCCGTTAATGTACGCAGCTAAGTACTGCTCACGTGACGTTCTTCTATTTTTATTAAAAAACAATGCAGATCCAATGATTGAAGATATTAAACAGAACAATGTTTTGCATCATGCAAACATGAATGTGATCATTCTTGATGATATATTAAAATATTGTCCAAGACTCATTGATAATCCAGATGCATCTGGAAACACAATTTTAATGAACGCTGTAGCTGATAACAATCTCAAAGCGATAAGTGTATTAATCAGCCATGGTGCTGATCGCTATAAGAAAAATACTTCTGGAAAAAGTGCATACGCTCTGGCTATCAACTCAAAAAATAATGATGTCATATTAGCTATTGAAAATAGCTACAAACCTGTATTTTAAACAAAGGGTTGTATTTTTTTAAATTTTGCTTCATTTATTTAAGTGTTTACACCTTTTTATTTTTTATGTTATTTTGATTTCAGAATATTTAAAATTACTTTGTTAAAGCATATTTTAAACATAGTTTGTGTACTTTATAGCTGTTACTGTCCCGTTTTTTACGTAGGAAAGCACAGCACTAAACTATTTAAGATTAAAGTTTTCATGGCGTTGGCCTACGAAAAAACCGGGCAATGACAGCCATAGCGTTATTTATGTACACGTCTACTGTAATTGTATGCGCACGCATTTATGTATATGTGTATTCTCGCATTTATGTATAAGTTTACTCGCACATTTACGTATATGTGTACTTGCGCAAACAGTTTTTATAGTTTAAATTAAAGTTATATTTTATACTACTATTTTTTTAGTTTTTTTTTTTTTTTTTTTTTTTTTTTGTCAATGGTATTGTCTTGGGTTACTAATAATATATAACTATATATTAATAAAAAATTATTAATAAAATAAAACGCCAATTTCTTCGTAACAAAAATTTTAATGATAACAATTTCTTGAGCTTTAAAAAAAAATTACAAAACATGGATGTTAACTGGCTAAACCTAATTAAAAACAAAACAAAACAGGTTAAGTCATTTAAATACATTTAATTATATTTAAACTAAGAATTTGAACTCAGATTTTATTTATAACAGCATTCTTATTTTACTAAGTTTAATGAAAACATAAGTTAAAAATACTCGTTTATAGAAGTTCTTAAAACAAGAAATTTAATCAAATTGAAACTTGACACTTCTGATATTTCCATGGACTCTCAGAAAATTATTGACAACATCTTAGTACTTTACTTAACGCAGCAAGTATTAGGTAATTGTATCTAATTATATTTATCCCATCCTCTCTCTCCTTATTATAACATAGAGAGGAGGAGGGGCAGAAAAAGTAACTTGTTTTAGGAAAAAGGACTGGGGAAAATCCAATGTAAGCTAGGTTATTATTCAGTTTGTGTTAATTTGTAACTTTTAAAGTAAAAAACTGATTTATTTTATTTAAATTACTAAAAATGAAGTGACTTGATTATTAACGTTTCAGCTTTATTGAAGATTTTTTTTTAATAAAATTAATATCAATAAATAGATAGAATGAGACAAAGGATGTCATTACACTACCTTTTTGTAAATTATAATCAAAGCGGCTCCTTTTTAAATATCTCCCTTATTATTACTATGATTCGACGGAATAGTCTTTTAAAGTTACCAAAATTCATCGCATTACTTTTTTCTCTCCACAACCAGTGCAAACCAGAGAATATAAGACTATATATAAAATACTTAAAAAAATAAATAGATTAACTTTCATACTCGTAAATATTAAAAACTAAGTTTAAAAGTAAATATTACTAATCTTTAGTTATCCAGAAATGAGTAAATTTATTTTACAGTAGTTTACCAACATGCTGAAAAACTCGCAGAGTAATAACTTTTTACGATAATGTAAGAATGGTATAAGGTGGCTCAACCCCATTAACACTAAATCTTTTAAAAATTAAAATAATTTCACTAAACTAGGTTTAACGCAGATAGATTAAAAAAATTATTTAATCAAATTTTTTTAAAACTGCACCAAAAAAAATGCTGTGTCAGCAACATTCCCTAAGTATTAAACATAACATTTAAGTAGTATTATTTGAAATTTTTACTGCATGTAGATAAAGTAGTAAATGTGATTCTGAACTAAAATCTAACTTCAAAACATTACCGATCTATAATGGCAGACAATTCTATTTGAGTATTAAAGAAATGTGTTTTTATTATACTCTATAACTCTATATATATAATAAAAGGTATCAAAAACATATAAGCAATTAAGTTTTATTAAGTATAACTGAGATAAGCAATTAAGTATATTACTGAGATGGAAATACAATCATGAAAGGGTGACACAACATAAACATCATGCAACAGATTTATACGTGATATCAATTAAAGTAAAGCAACAAATTTCTAACAACACTTCAAATAGCTCAATTTTTATGCATAGAGAAAACTATAAATGTAGTTTTGCAACTACATATAATTGTCTATGGTCGTGCAAATGCCATTTTTCAAATATGTACAATAAAATGAATCTCTGGGCATGTAAATGCCATAATTCAAAGAAATGTTTTGCAAGAAACATAATGAGAAATTTATTTCATTTATCTATTCTGTCATTAGGTATTGTGGTTTATCCTCCTCCGTCTAATTGCCATATAGATACCACAAACCCGGGCCAGCTCATCACCCGCCTCGTTAACCAAGAGTAGGTAAGTTTAGGAAGAACAAAGAAAGTTAGAGCGAAACTCAGAAGAAGTCGAGTTAGAAAGATAGCAAAGAGAAAGCGGAAAGACAATTGCACTTCATGTTAGAATGTGCAATTCATACTATTAATTAGATTACCTAATTAATGTATGAGTATAAAATTAGTCATCATTGCTGATGACGCTTGTTAATACTTATTATTCTATCTATCTTGTCTATTTATACATCTTATTATACATATATCTTGTCATTAAACAAACTTCCATTTAACATTTTTTCTAACAGAATCAATCAGTATTTTATATTAAACTAAAAACCTCAAATATACGTATTAAAAACTGTGCAAGCATATTAAAGTTAATTTTAATTAAAAACTATGCTAGCCGCAAAACACATTGTCATCACTAATAGTTTTTAGAGTTTACCACCGTATAATTACAACTTCTTAAATTTTCTGTATTTGTATTTTTAGTTGCAGCAGCATTACTTTTTGCAGATCACTTCTTCTTTAAATTTCAGCATAGTACTAAAACCTTGGCTTGTAGATAGCAGAATGCCATAAAATAAGGTAGAAAGGCCAGAAATTGCATCATGTAGATCAAATAGGTAGACGAAACTATTAAACAACCGGGGCTAGTATTTGACCTCGGCCAAAGCCAAGTTTATGGCTGGGGCTGTATAAATATTGGTGCAATAAATAAGTCAATATGCACCAATATTTATGCAGTCCCGTCCGTAGAACCGGCCTAGTCTACAGTCAAATTCCAGCCCCGGTCATTTACTAGACGAAACAAGGCTGATGCGGTTGCAAAGGTGTTTTAAGGATAAAAAAGATCATCATAACCCAGAAAGACGCAAATTTCTCTATGAAGGAATATATAGTTTACCACAATTTATATATTTTTAGAATCTGCAATGATTGAACTAAGTGATAAAGCAAAGAAAAAAAAAATTCTTTTAATTTTTTATTTAACATTTGAATGGAATTAAGCCACCTTAAACAAACTGTTTAAAGTATGTGACGTAAATCCCCATTTTTATACTATACTTTATTTTAAAAACAAACAAAATGTATTTTCTTATAGTTTTCAAGTATCAGCTTTCTGCAATCAAATAATAAAGTAAAGTCATTTAAAATGTTAATTAAACGGATAAGATTTAAGTAAACTATGATCATAGTTTCATAAAACTACTAAAGAAGTAGTGAACTTATTATTAAAAAAAAAATTTTCACTGGATATATATCAAGAATATATAAGGGATAACAGAATGTTTTCCCATGTATATACTTTCTAATATATATAAAGGAAAATGGGATGAGCGAGATGACGAATGTGTCCAAATGGCTTTTCATATAACAACTCAATAAAAAAAATTAAAAAAATCGGGAAACAAAACTGTATATATGACTTGTATTTTAAAATAACAAATAGTTCTTTTTTAAATATTGTTAACGTGATTTTATATGCAAAAGTTTTTTTTTTTTACTTTTTTTTATTATTAATTTTTAAAATTACCCAGCGTAAGGTGCTTCTCAAGATTTTATATGTTCTTAAATGTTTTAAGTGAGGGTTTTGTTCAAAAAAAGTAACACTTAAGCTAAATAGTAAACTTTAATTGTTTACCCTTACTAAGGGCCTTATCGTTTTGAGTTGACACTTTTAAACAATTTAAAAAAAAAAGTTTAATGGCATATTTATTTTATTACTTGTTACTTAATATCTGCAAATAACTACTAAAAATAAATTATACATTTTAATAAAAAAGGTTTCATTTAGTAAAAAATTTATTTAAAAATTATATAAATATTATTAAAAAATAAAAAATAGTTTGCAAAATTTAAAAGGTAATCTCAAAACTTTAGTTTATTTTAAAAAAGGATTTACACACAAATAACTATTATTTTATTATCAATAAGTACCCTAGTCAAAAAATCCTATAAGAATGAAACAAAAAAAAATTAAGATTGTCGAAAACAAAAACAGGCTATCGAAACCAAATCGAAAACACTATCAGACTATCGAAAACAAAAACATGCCTTAAAAATAATAAATTTTAAAAATAAAAACGAACATGCAAAACCACTATTCGAAATTATGAATATTTTTACGCTATACGAGATAAAGGTTTATAAAATTTTATGTCTCATGTACAAAAGTAAATTTCAACAATCCCTCTCAATTTTTAATGATATTTATGAAATAAAACCTAACATTAAATATACTTTACGCACAACAGGCTTAATTGAACCATTGTGCAAAACTAAACAAGAACAATTTAAAATTACGTATCGTGCTCCGCATATCTGGAATAAAATCTTAGCAAAATATAGTAATTTACCAGGTGTAAACAATACAAATTGCTTTCAAAAACTAATAAAAAAGAATATTTCAAAGAACACAAATCTTATTAACGATTTCTTTTAAACTGCTTTGCTTTTTTGTTTGTTTGTTTTTTTGTTTTTGTCTTTTTTCATTGAAAAGTTTTTGGTTTTAACAAAAACGAAAAAATTAAAAAAAAAAAAAAAAAAAGATTTGTACTTTAAATTTGTACATTAAATTAAAACACATAAGTTAAAAAGTGTCTATAGTTATCAAAGTTTTGACTTTTTTTTTGTTCCAAAATCCTATAGATTCTATCGGACAATTTGGCCAGGGCATCAAAGAATTTTGAAAAAGGAAAAACATTTTATTTTTTAAAATAAGTTAAAAACTTTATCTAGCTTTCATTGACATTGCGACATCAAAGAAGGAGGGTCA